CAGCATGTGGGCCAAACATGGCCCGAGTTTGGCAGAGGTGGCACCGTCTTTAAGGCGGCACACAAGATTTGGGCCAGATGCAAAACGTACTATTTGGCCCAGATTTAAAAATTTGATAAGTGGGCCATGTGAGTTTGGCCAGTCTTGACCCACATTTAAAATACACTAAAATCATTTTTGAGTAAAGAAAAAAAATTCTACCAATCAGGTCACTTTGAGAACAAGCATGCCCATAGTGTGCCTAAAGCGCATGACTCCATGTGTTTATCAATTTCATTGCAATCGTGACACACCAACCTATCTGGCCCAGTTCAGGCCCAGTTATGAGTTATTAACTTGGCTGAGACTTGGCCCAGATATGGTCCGTGTTTGGCCCTTGTCTGGAAGCCAGATTTGGTCCAGTCATGTACCGTAATTCACTGCGGCATGTGGGCCAAGCAAAACCTGATTGTGTGGGCCAGAGCTGGGCCAGAGAAATTTTGCTATGTGGGTACGGATAATTTAGCTTACCTAGTTCACCTGTACTGCATGTTTTTGGACTGGGGGAAACCGGAGCACCAGGAGGAAACCCATGCGGAAATGAGGAGAACATGCAAACTCCACAGAGAAATGCCAACTGACCCAACCAAGGCTCGAATCAGCAACCTTCTTGTTGTGAGGCAACAGCACTACCTAACTAGTTTCAAATTTTTATCTTGCATTTTAATTATATTAATTAAAGTATGTAATTAATTTTTAGACCATGTCCTTCCCCTGTCAAAGAAAATCTTCTCATGTGGAAGAATGAACATTTTCTTAAGGTGAGTTTCACTACACTCCTGCAATTTTGGGATTATAATTTGTGTTCCTGTGTGTGATGTTCCACTCAGAGCTGTTCACATCCTCAAACTTGGAATTGTAGTTATCTGTAATAAAACCACTGTGTCAGTCAAATGTACAATATGTCAAGAAGCACACATTCACTGGCCACTTTATTAGGTACACCTGTCCAACTGCTTGTTAGGGCAAATTTCTAATCAGCCAAGCACATGGCAGCAACTCAATGCATTTAGGGATGTAGACTTGGTCAAGATGATCTGCTGCAGTTCAAACCGCGCATCAGAATGGGGAAGTTAATTTAGGTGACTTTGAACGTGGCATGTCTGTGTATTTCAGAAACTGCTGATCTGCACAACCATCTGGTTTACAGAGAATGGTACGAAAAAAGAGAAAATATCCAGTGAGCGGCAGTTCTGTGGGCGCAAATCCCTTGTTGAGGTCAGAGAAGAATGGCCAGTCTGGTTTAAGCTGATAGAAAGGCAACAGTAACTCAAATTACCACTTGTTATAATCAAGATATGCAGAAGAGCATCTCTGAAGACACAACACGTCAAATCTTGGGGTAGTTGGCCTACAGCAGTAGAAGACCACACTGGGAGCAACTTCTGTCAGCTACGAACAGGAAACTGAGGCTACAATTGGCACAGGCTCACCAAAATTGGACAATAGAAAATTGGAAAAAATGTTGTCTAGTCTGATGAGTTTTGATTTTTGCTGCGACATTCGGGTTGTATGGTTAGAATTTGGCATCAACAACATGAAAGCATGGATCCATCCTGCCTTGTATCAACAGTTCCGGCTGCTGCTGGTGGTGTAATGGTGTGGGGGATATTTTCTTGGCACACATTGGGACCAATTAAGCAGCATGTCAATGCCACAGCCTAACTGAGAATTGCTGCTGACCATGTACATCCCTTTTTTTGGCCAGTGTATCCTTCTGATGCTATCCAGCAGGATAACACACCATGTCATAAACCGTAAATCATCACAGACTGGTTTCTTGAACATGACAATGAGTTCACTGTACTCAAATGGCCTCCACAGTCACTAGGTCTCAATCCAATAAAGCACCTTTGGGATGTGGTGGAACAGGAGATTCACAACATGGATGTGCAGCCGACAAATCTGCAGCAACTGTGTTATGCTATCATGTCAATAAGGATCAAAATCTCTGAGGAATATTTCCAGTATCTTATTGAATCTATGCCACGAAGGATTAAGGCAGTTCTGAAGGCAAAAGGGGTTCAACCCGGTACTAGTAAGGTGTACCTAATAAAGTTTTAATTGTTGTTATAAGTGAACATGTGAATGCCTTTTACTCCCAATTAACACAATTCCAATGTAAGTGTGTAAGGAAATATATAATGTGCTAAAATAAATGACACAGCATGTTTTCCAGTCTCTGTTTTAATATAATTCCTTCATTTAAGGTACTAGAAACATTCTATTGCTGTTAACGATCACTTTCAGGGACATTTTTTTTCTGATGGATAATTCAAATTTAACATCAGAAATGTAACAAACAAATACTTACATTTTGGCTCACCATTTTTGTTTAAAAAAAGCAATAACAGACTGTGCTGAATATTGTCATAGCTAAGGACAGACACTGCACTTTTTGTTATGCCTTCAGATGTGACTGAATTCAAAATTTAGCACAGCTTGTACCACCTTATTGCTTAAGTACAATCAAAAACTTTTACTTTAATTTTTTTCTTACATTGAAAATACAGTATAATGCAGTTCAGTACCCCTCACATAAGGAAACCAAACCTGCAATTAAAAGATCAGATCACCCAAAAATTTAAATTCCGTTATTAACTACTTACCCTCATGTTGTTTCGACCCCCTGAGAAATTTATTCAAGTTCAAAACACAAACTAAGATATTTTTGATGAAATCTAGGAGCTCTTTGATCCTCAACAAACAGTCCTGATACATTCAAAGAATGATGCACCAAATTTGAGTTTTTCAGGCAAAAGATAAAATTGACCAAAATTATGAATCAAAAAAACAAAAAAACAAAAAAAAAACAATGACCCCTCTGGAAGAAAATTGATGGTGGGGAAAATTGGGTGGAAGAAAAAAAAAACTGGGTGGGAGACAAAAAATGGTTGGGAGAAAAAAAAACAGTGATAGGAAAATATATATTTTTAAAGATTTTGCATTCCCTCCCAAAGATCTTTTGCGGGGATTCTCCCATATCTTACCATTCTATCCCGCTATCATCCTTTCATTGGGTATTTTCCCATATTTCTCCCATATTTTTAATCTTGAAACCAGTGAAATGAATATAAAAATGTCTGCATTCACTATCTTTCCATTAAAGCTGTGCGTCAATCATATGCAACCTCTGAATCAAAGAATGCATGTTGACTGACTGACGGACGCTATGATAAACCAATCCCAGATCAGCTTCTGTACACGTCATTCCGGATCTTTGTACATCTGCAGTCATTACAATGTGGTTGTTGTTTTTAAAGTTATTATAATCTAAGCTTAGTCAAATTTTAAAAGGTTTTCAAAATGTTTTTGGCTAAGTGCATCCAGAATTTTCGGTCCAGAATTTTCATTTCGGTGCATCCATAGTTTAAAGTTCATAAAAGACAACAAAAATACTGTCAACTGAAATCATATGGGGTCTCAAAAATACTGTAAATATGAATGTTTTTGCCTGTATAACAGTATCTTCACATTTTGCTACAGGTAATTTGACGCATTGCCATTAGAGTCAGCAGTGCAACACACAAGCATCGTAATACCCATAGTAAATGCACACCCTAATCTGATCCAGAAAATATTGTCAAAAAAAGTAGTTTAGTTTGGAATACAAAAGTGTTCCTAAAGCTTTGTATGATCCCAGTTGAAGTACTTATTAAAGTCTTACAGAATATTTTGACAATGTTTTGGTCTCTTTTCTGGACTTTCAACACATCTGGACCAATGCTGTCTATGGAGGATGACAGAGCTCTTGGATTTCATCTAAAATATCTTCATTTGTGTTATGAAGTTGAACAAAGGTCTCATGGGTGTGGAACAACATAAGGGCAAGTAATTAATAACAGAAATATAATTTTTTTTGTGTGTGAAATAATATAAAAAAACATGAGGAACTTTTTTTTTTTTTGCATTGTGACATTACATAATCAGAGGAAAAATGTTCTTAATTGCAAAAAAATAAATAAAATAAAAATAAATAAATTTAAATGAAGTTTACACAAACGTACAAGCATTCTGTTAATCCACTCAGACCATCATATCAAATTAGTTTTGCCTAAATATGTATATATTTTAAACCAGGGGTGCCCAAAGTCAGTCCTGGAGGGCCAGAGTCCTGCAACGTTTAGTTCCAACCACAATCAGACACATGGACTAGCTAATCAAGCCCTTACTAGGCTTTCTAGAAACATCCTTGCAGGTGTGTTGAGGCAAGTTGGAGCTAAAATCTGCAGTACATCGGCCCAGGACAGAGTTTGGACACGCCTGTTTTAGACTCTCAAACAGCTGGTTGACTTTAATGTTTGCATCAATCAACAAGCAATGTCATTTCAACATAAAATCTTCAATGTTTTAATGAATTTTGAATGGCCTGAGGATTAGTAAATTAACAGAATTTTTTAAGAAAACTATACCTTTGACAACTGTTTGACAACCGCTTGACAACCAACTTCTTTAATCTTAGGGTGAAATATGACATTAATTTTGCTATATTTTGTGGGATTTAATGATATATATTGGTCTTATTTGTACATTGCAATGTTGTACTCTTCATACATAATTTAAATATAGGAAACATTAAACTGTTATTGCATTTTTGTCCAGGTCTTTGAGCTCCCCTTGCACATTTTAGATTGTTATTCAACAAACATTTATTTAAAACATGATCTCATTAGTCCAACCTTCTAAACCATAATGCACAGTGCTGGGACTCCAGAACTATCATAATATTTAATACTAACACACTTAGTTCTGCTGTTTTTGTCTTAATAATATACGTTCTGAGGAAACAGAGTCTTCTGAATTTATTGGTTTTCCTGAGTTTGCTCTATAATTACTTTATTAAATTGCACCCTACACCCAAATGGCAACCACAAATCATACCTATTTCACAAACTGGTGTCTTGAGAGTATAAAAAGACTTTAAAGTTTGTATCTAAACTAAATATTTCGGAATTTAATAAGCTCTAGGACACTTTCAGCTACTTTCACACCAGTTCGTTTGTCACGGTCTCTTGTTTCCTTTGCTGAGTTTGTCTCCAAGCTCCTGGATCAGTTCAGCCAGCTCCTCTGTGGCCTGGGATTTTTCCTCCAGGAGCTCATAACGCAGGCTGGAAATGTCCTGCTTGATTTCCTTCAACTCACCTGAAGAGAAAAAGCACAACAGTTTGATCTCTTTCAATGAAAATACATCCTCAAAAACAGAGTTATAGTCATATATAAATTTTTATATGTTTACTTATTTTTATAAGTGTTTTTTTCAACACTTAATAGCTTGACACTTTTTGAACTCTAAAAATTAGTTATTTGCACAATGCTATTTAGAATCATATTCTCCAGAATCACATATCTCTAAAAGATGTGCTTCTTTCATGCAAATAAAGTTCTGCAAATTGTTTGCAATGTATAAAGTCAGCATCAAAAGTATGGTGACAGAGGAATGATACCGTTGGAATCCCTTTCATAACATTTTTTTTCAAGCTCATGAATAATAAAAATAAACTAATAAGAATCCACCCTGCTTGAACGAGCTTGAGCTTTAAAGAGGCAGACAACAAAACTGCAGTGGACAACAAATAAATGTTATTCGTCACCTCAGAATTATAAGGTTCTATCTGACATTTTTGTCAAAATTGAGTTATTGACATATTCTTATTAAATGACAACTTATTTACATTATAGGGTGTTTTTTATAAGTTGTTTACATTTTAAGACTTTTTATTTAAAAACAAACGCAAAAACTTTACAGTTCAATATCTCAAAATCATTCAGAACGCAGGTAGAACCTTATAATTCCAAGGTGATTGATTGTGCATGAGTGTTGATGCTAACGTTAAGTGTTATAGCTTTAAGTTGTGGTTTAAGTGTTTATTGTGGTCAATTGGCTGTTAAAAATCTTTCAACACTGTCCTTGGTTCACATTTTATTTTTAAGACAAGACAAACTCACACAAACTCAAGACAAACTCTCACAAGGAAACTTAACTATTTTACATTTTATCAGTTTACTGGCTAATTCCTGAGTTTAGTCGTACGCAAATGTATGACTTTTAAAGGTTCAAGAAACCCTTGAGTACTTTTTCTGAGTTTTTTTACAGATTTGTGTGTGCTGAGCATCAGTTAAGTCAACGTTAGCACCTGTCAGCTTTAATTGTAGGGACAACTGGATGATTTTGAGCTTTTGTCAGCTAATTTCATCTTCCGGGTTTAAAATAATATTTGAGGCAGAATTAAACTCGGTGACGTAGCACCAATCTGCTTGTCCAGAGATAATGTATGTCGGTTTCTCATTATATAACTAAGTTTTCTTATCCTATGAGAACCCCCTGCTTCTTAATTATTTATGAGCACATACGTTCCGAAAGCAAGTCAGACCTGGCAAGCCGTGATACCGTGTCCATGCACAGCACACAGTATTTAGCCAGTTATAAAGGATCATATGTGTTTGTTTCCATGATCCACAAGGTTTGTTGAATGTTTTTCCCTGTGATGCTGTGAGGGCCGATATAGCAAAGCTGTTAGTTTCCAGAAAGCATTTTTGTCAGGAGAGCTATAGCAGAATTGGAGAATGATGAATTTTGCCTTTTATCAGTTGAGTTTGTTACCATTCAGACACATCACCTATATACGTGCTGCCATGTTTGCACATGTTTAAAATTTTTTCAGATTACTAGCAGGGCTAATAGTTGAAGTAGATAAGGCAAGACCTGCTGTACTGCTATCCACTGTGTTTGCATTCAGATCCAGGGACTGAGGAGGAGATAGTCCTCCTCATTTATAATGTTTACATAAGTATGATTATTCTTATAATGATATAACAAATTGTGGTTATGGGTATATGAAATTATGAATAACATATGTAGGAGTTGGCCTGCTCGATTTTGGGAAAAATCATAATCACGATTATTTTGGTCATAATTATAATCACGATTATTCAAAACGTTTATCAGTTAAAGTCAAAATTATTAGCGCTCCTGATAATTTTTTTTTTAATAAATAAATATTTTCCAAAGGATGTTTAACAGAGCACAGAATTGTAACAGTATTTCCTCTAATATTTTTTCTTCTGGAAAAAGTCTTATGTGTTTTATTTTGGCTAGATTAAAAGCAGGTTTGAATATTTTGAAACCTATTTTAAGGTCAATATTATTAGCCCCCTTAAGCAATATATTTTTGATTGTCTGCAGAGAAACTACTGTTATACAATGACTTGCTTAATTACCCTAATTAAGCCTTTGTATCACACTTTAATATGAATGCTTGCATATTAAAAATATCTATAATATTATGTACTGTTATTATCGCAAAAATAAAAGAAATCAGTTATTAGAAATGAGTGATTAAAACTATTAAGTTCAGAAATAAGTTGAAAAAAATCTTCTTTCTATTAAACAGAAATTTCGGAGGAAAAGGGTCGCTAATATTCAGGAGGGCTAATAATTCTGACTTTAACTGCATATATACAGTTATTTTCCACCCTGCAAAGGCAAGAGAAATAAATACAATAGATTAAAACCATGAAACAAACTGTGCTTTAAGCATCTTTACTGTAAGAAAAACAGTGAGGGATTTTCTCCATTTGTTGTTTTATTAATGATAAAAACAGGCGGCAGTAGGGATATAGCGTGTTTCTCTTACACGTGTCTTTTGATTCTCAAGTCATTTGTTTATAACACAAATGAAGCTTAATATAAATAATCACTAAACACCGCGTTTTGACACCTATTTGACCAATAAAGTCCTCACGTTAAGATGACTTTGGTTGGTGCGCTCTGCTCTTCTCAGTGTGCGACTGAGACTGAATGCTGACCACATGCTTCTGACTGTGTGTGCATGCCGCACACATTAAGCATGCAGTCTTTTGCGCTTTCAAGAGCAACAAATGTGTACAACTGGAAAGGGGGGCGGTATATGATGCAATAATCGTTAGTCTCGATTAATGGTTTTTCATAATCATTAGAAGCCAAAATCTAAATCGGATTTTCGATTAATTTCACAGCCCTATGTAGGAGCGCATTAAATTACTTTTATTTCTTGCAATTTAGCTTTGTAAATTATAAACTCATGGGTCTTCTCACAGTTTGTGTCTTATTTTGTCCGTTCCTCTCTTTTTCCCCTGCTCTGCTGACCACGCCCACTCCTCCCTCTGCTCGCATAGCTCCACACCCATCACGAAGCATTTTTTGAAAAAAATTCTGAGGTAGACTTGAACTAAAAGAGGGGGGTTTCATGGCCCTTTAAAAGGAGGCGTGGCACCAAACCCCACCCCTGAACCCAACAGTCATTGAGGGATTAGCAAATGTCACCAAACCCCACCTCTAAACCCAACCGTCATTGGCGGAATAGCAAACTGTACTGTAGGAATAAATGTACGAATAATACAAATTAGCCACTAAATCAAAAATCAAAATGAATTGGCATGAGAAAGCATTGGAGAAATCCTAAAAATACCCCCAAAAATGCTTTTAATATTTATATTTGGTAGACATTGTGTTCTGAGCACATTGTGTATGCATGTGATGTTTTTTGCAATGAGATAACTGAGAACTTAAACAATGTAAAGATTTCAAAACAGCACCAGGAATTCCTGTCACACACTTAAACTAAGATTTACAGCAACCAAATAGGTTTCCAATGCCTGTTTTAAATTATAAAGCAACATCTTGACTTTGAAGAATAATAACATGTACAGTGCATCCGAAAAAGTATTGATAGCGCTTCACTTTTTCCACATTTTTTCATGTGACAGCCTTATTCTAAAATGGATTAAACTAATTTATTTCCTCCAAATACTACACACAATACCCCATAATGACAATGTAAAAAAAAGAGTTTTTGAAATTGTTGCAAATATATTAAAAAAAACAAAAAAAAAAACTGAAAGATCACATGTACATAAGTATTCTCAGCCAATACTTTGTTGATGCACCTTTGGCAGCAATTACAGCCTCTGGTCTTTTTGAATATGATGCCACAAACTTGGACCACCTGTCTTTAGAAATTTTTGCCCATTCCTCTTTGCTGTACCTCTCAAGCTCTATCAGGTTGGATGGGAAGTGACAATGTACAGCCATTTTCAGATCCAGAGATGTTCAATAGGATTTAGTTCTGGGCTCTGGCTGGTCCAATCAAGGACATTCACCTATTTGTTGTGAAGCCACTCCATTGATATTTTGGCAGTGTGCTTTGGGTCAATGTCCTGATGGAAGATGAATCGTTGCCCTAGTCTGAGGTCAAGAGCTCTCTGAAGCAGGTTTTCATTCAGGATGTCTCTGTATATTGCTGCATTCATCTTTCCCTCTGTCCGGACTAGTATTTCAGTTTCTGCTGCAGAATCCCCACAGCATCCCCACAGTGGCATGCTGCCACCACCATGCTTCACTGTAGGGATGGTTTTAGCCTGGTGATGAGCGGTGCCTGGTTTTCTCCAAATGTAATACCTGACATTCACGCCAAAAAGTTACATTTTAGTCTTATCAGACCAGAGAATTTTGTTTCTTATGGTCTGAGAGTCCTTCAGATGCCCTTTGGCAAATTCAAGGTGAGGAGTGGTTTCCGTCTGGCCACTCTACCATACAGGTCTAAAGGGTGGATTGCTGCACAGATTGTTGTCCTTCTGTAAGGTTCTCCTCTCTCCACAGAAGAACACTGGAGCTCAGACAGAGTGACCATTTGGTTATTGATCACCTCCCTGACTAAGCCTCTTCTCCCCAGATTACTTAGCTTAGGGGACTGGCCAGCTCTAGAAAGAGTCCTGGTGGTTCCAAAAATCTTCCATGTATGGATGATAGAGGCCACTGTGCTCATTGGAACTTCCAGAGCAGCAGAAATGTTTCTGTACCCTTCCCCTGGCTTGTGCCTCGAGACAATCCTGTCTTAGAGGTCTACAGACAATTCCTTTGTATTTATGGTTGGTTTATAATTTGACATGCACTGTCAACCCTGGGACCTTATTGACCTTATTCTAAAATGCGGAAGTGTACCTGTTTTCACGATTGTTTTAGAACTTCCGATACAGTCGCCTATGGGAGAAATGACTGGGAATAATAAACGGCAGAAAAAGGTCAAACTACTTGCTCTACAAACAAATGTTTGCATGACTATACAGACCAAGTGGAATAATATAAGGAAATATCAGTTTGCAACATCAAACAGCGAAACAAGCAGTTTTTAATGTCTAAAAATGAATGGAAGTGTATGAGACTGTAAGTCTCGAGCCAAAAAGATTCAAATGGCGCGTCGGCAAAGAATAAGGTGAATATCAACAGGTGTATGCCTTTTCAGATCATGTCCAATCAATTGAATTTACCACAGGTGAACTCCAATTAAGCTGATGAAACATCTTAAAAATGATCAGTGGAAACAGAATGTACCCGAGCTCAATTTTTAAAATAAATTTGCAACAATTTCAAAACTCTTTTTTTCACATCGTCAATATGGGGCATTGTGTGTAGAATTTTGAGGAAATAAATGAATTTAACCCATTTTGGAATGAGGTTGTAACTAGAACAAATGTGGAAAAAGTAAAGCACTTTGAATACTTTCTGGATGCACTGTATGCTTGAGCATTGTGTCTATTGGACACATCTTCTAATGAGTCCAGTTTCTTCAAAACATTTCAGAACTCTTGAACCCTTTGCTCTGTACCAATGACAGCATTATTCCCACATAACCTGCCCTTATAGAATATTCATAACGAAGTTTAATTTTGCGTGAACTACAAATTAGCCACAGAATATGATAAAATTGTAAAATAGCTATTGTAAAAAGATTGTTTTGGATAAATCTTACCTTCATTGATCTCATTACTTTCACTGTCAATTTGGGCTTTCAGGACATATCGCTTGATGAGTCGCTTCATGAGTTTCTACAACGATAAAAAGATTGTGAATAGGATTTTAATTTAAAATGGCCTACAGAGAAGTGTCTCTGGATCAAAATCCAATCATTACCTGATATCGTGTAGGGTGTTTGATGGGATTTCTAACCGTGAATCCCTCTTGCGAATGGTAAGGTCGAAATCGATAAAGCTGTAAAGATATCAAAATTAAGGACGGCCATTTGTTGATTTGAACAGTTAGAAAACCCACGCTGATCTCTGACCTTAGAGCGAGAATTGGCCATTCCCATGTCCTGCTGGCTGCTGTTGCTGCGGACCCTGGCCTTGCATAAACTCACTAGGCATGCTTTGGTGCGCTGAGCCATGTAATAGAAGGATTTGGGGCTGGGTATTAGATTAAAGGGGGCTGGAAGAGTGCTGCCTTCATCAAAATACGAGAGCCAGAGCTTTGCACGAGCAAACTTCCATTCCACATCAGCATCCTCCTGTGCTCACACACACAAACATCACTGTGTCAATAAGAGCAAAATACTTGAGTTTATTATTGTAAATGTGCATGGGCTCACCTCAATTTCCTGGTATGAGTGGTTAATCATGGCTATGAGCATGTTAAGGAGGACCACCACCATTGTGACATTATAGACCCCGTAGAGAATATAGCCAATGTTTTCAATGAACTTGTGATCGTACTTCAAGACCACTGAGATCACCTCGGATAAACCAAAGATCGACCAGAATAGTGTTTTAAAGCTTTCCTCAACCCTGCAACAGACATTCAAAATGATAATAAAACATTCACAAATACTTCTTCACATTTAAATGTTTACCAATGCCCTTCTTTCAGCAGAAAATACTGCTCTTTTTAAAAAGCAACACTTAAAATAGTTTTAATGTTTAACATTGACACATTTAAAACATGGTTTTATTATGGTATAAGTATAGAAAGTGTATAAACCTTTTGTCCAACCATTTGCTTCCTTTGTAGTAATACCATGGCTAATATTTCATCTGTAACATGAATGTGAGCAAATTGCATTTCAGTACTTTTTTTCTGTGAACTTTTCCTTTAACAGGTAAATCTGTTTAAATAACTAGGAAGTTTATAGAAGCAAACTTTGCCTGGGGCCTTCTGTCTATCAATACAGTTTGTATCAATATTTAAAACATCAGAAATCAGATTTTCACAGATATTTAGCCCATCATTGAGTATTTATTTACTTGTGTAAATGTGTGTAAATTTATATATATTCAGCTTTTATATTAATTTCATTAATATTGACTAATATAAAAATTTTAATTAGATTTATTCACAATAAGTTTGTAAAGTCATATTTTCTGTCTTTTAGTAATCAATTATATGACAGACTTACTTTCTAAATAAATGGATCTAGATGGATTTGCATTGCATTTCATTAAATAAAAGTTAAAAAGCTATTAATTAGGCATAAATAGCAAATAATTGACTGACTGACTATTCTCTGGGGAGGGGCTCGGACTAGACATGAGTTTCTGTATATTTTGTGTGATTCAAAAGTTTAGAAATAAAACTAAAGAGACAGTTGTTGTTTCATTTTATAGGTGATTCCTAATATGAAATTTAACCATAAGCTTGGCAAGCAATTTTGTAGAATCAGATTTTTCCCCATTCAAACAGAATGCCAGAGCATACTGCCTGAAAAGCGCTTCAAAAATGGCCACAAAGTGAAATAACTTTCCTTAAAGAGACTTTGCCTATAGCCATGTGTAACCATGTTCTAACATACATCCAAATATGTATCTAGCATGGTTAGCACTAGCATGAATGAGCACGCTGCTATAGTATTTCTCGCATATTAAACATGTAGCTAACATGAATTAACTGAATCAATTTGTTTTGTTATATTTGTTGATGATTGTTGTTAGGTGACCTTGGGTGTCCAGAAAGGCACCATTTATAAATATAATGAATTATTATTATTATTATTATTATTATTATTCATTCATTCATTCATTCATTTTCTTGTTGGCTTAGTCACTTTATTAATCCGGGGTCGCCACAGCGGAATGAACCGCCAACTTATCCAGCAAGTTTCTTACGCAGCGGATGCCCTTCCAGCCGCAACCCATCTCTGGGAAACATCCACACACACATTCACCCACACACACTCATACACTACGGACAATTTAGCCTACCCAATTCACCTGTACCTTTGGACTGTGGGGGAAACCGGAGCACCCGGAGGAAACCCATGCGAAGGCAGGGAGAACATGCAAACTCCACACAGAAACGCCAACTGAGCGGAGGTTCGAACCAATGACCCATCGATCTTCTTGCTGTGAGACGACAGCACTACCTACCCACTGCCTCGCCTATTATTATTATTATTATTATTATTATTATTATTATTATTATTATTATTATGTGGCTAATATTTAACATGTTTCTGGCATGTTTTAGCAGGTTGGCTTTGCTAGACCATCATGGTATATAGACCATTTTAATGTGGTCATGTCATTGGCCCATAAACATTTCCTGCTTGTTATCAAACTATTACATAAATGTAACAAGAGGCAATTCAATCACAACTTACTGTTCAAACAGCTATCCTAACATTATTTATCAATATGTGGCTTTTTTTGGATTCTCATAAGCTATAGAAATTGAAAAAATGTAAAACAGAAAATATGTTGGGATCATTGTTTTTGTTTACATCCCTCAAAAAGGCCTATAAGATACTTTATACTATATAAGATAGCTAGACGCTATAAAAGAATTAAAGGTTTAAATTGAGGTAAAGTTGGTTTTATATTCACACATTCATTTAGTGCCAACTTGTCACACAGTTGCTATTTTGTTTATCATGGTAGCTTAAATATTTGGTTTGAAATCGCATGTAAATATGACTTCACAACACCATTAGCACTATTAACTGAACTGTGAATACTGTTGTACTTTGATAGACATTGGTTGGTAATATGATTTCACCATTTAGAATTTGCAAGGAATACTTTAAGTCACGCCGAAGCCACAGCCAACAGATGATTCTGCTTGGTCTTAAAGGCGATTGATTATTTTTACAATTTATGATGGCATAGTAGTCAAAATAGGACAAATGTATCTAGCTCATGTATAGGACACATTCTGGTTCTTTGTGAGTGGGGGGTGTGGGTCTTTCAAACCACCTGAACCTCCCCTGGCTACTGGCCTGCAATGCCCTCCAAAACAGGGTTACTATATTTTGACTATAATAAAAGCCAGTTTATTTTCACAAGGGTTCATCTACATTTGGTGATCAAATCTTTTATTCTCTTGGAGGAAATGTAGGTGTTTGGAAAAGTGGTCATTAAAGAAGAAGAAGACACAGATTGGTATGCTGGCCTTCTCAATTATCATCATTATTATCAAATTATATGAATTGAATATTGTCAAATTGTATGACTCACGTGGTAAAAGCAGGGTTGTATTTGGCTCCCAAATAGTAGGAATACAAATTAAACATGCCGATCATGAAGGCAAGAAAGACCATGATGAAAATGACCATGAATTTAAAAATATCCTTAACAGTCCGCCCCAGGGATATTTGTAAGGGTCCGAAACTCTCATTAGCCGGCAAAACGTAGGCGATTCGAGAGAAACTGAGCACCACAGCGATGGAGTACAATCCTTCAGAGATGAGCTGAGGATCAGAGGGCAGCCACCTGTTCCTGGCTGAGACAGAAGCATATTTTACTGTCACCACTTGATGGCAGCATTTTGCCATTTTAAATATCCGCTCTCACTGAGAACAGAATTAGGCTTTCTGGTCTTTCATAAGGCTGTTATAGCTCACTTTAGATTTTATGTACCGAATATAGAGAATCGTTATTTTTGTGACATACCGTAAGTGAAGTAGGCCACATCTGCTGGTAATGATGCATTGATCAAGTTGGCATTAGTCACATATAAATCCACATAGAGCTGTGCCTGGGACGCTTGCAGGAAGGCCATGAGCCGTGCGGTGAACGAGGCCACAAATACAGACAGCATGCCAAAATCTAACACGTTCCACAGGTGCATGATGTACTCGCGTGGCCCATCCGCCCAGACCTCCTTACACTCGGTCCAGATCATTCCTGATCAGAGAAATTAGGGCAAAGACAATAGATTCATTCATCATATTTGTGTTTAAGCCATGCAACATTCATATCAGCTTTAGCTGTCTTTATTTTTTTAATGGTTTATTATTTAAATCCAAAATCAAACAAAACATTTTTCAGGGGTAATTAATGTGTTGGCACTCTTTGGATAAGGTATTCATAAAGATAAACAACAAAATCATAAGTCCAAGACACTCGAAAAGTAAGAGAACAGTTTTAAAAAGCTTTTATTAACATGGCTATAATTAAAATAAAACAACAACAACAACAACAACAAAATGCTTTTTAAAAAGTAATAGCTATGTTGATAAAGGCTTTTTAAGTTTTTCACTTTTTGGATGCCTTGGACTTACGATTTTTGTTTTTTTTATCACAACTATTACTACTACTAATATTAATTAGTTTTCTTTAGTCCCTTTATTAATCTGGAGTCGCCACAGCGGAATGATCCACCAACTTATCCAGCATATGTTTTACGCAGTGAATGCCCTTCCAGCTGCAACCCAACACTGGGAAACACCCATATACAGTCTTTTACATACATACACTACGACCAATGTAGCTTCCTCAATTCACCTTTAGTGCATGTCTCTTGACTGTGGGGGAAACCGGAGCAACCGAGCATGCCAACTGACCCAGACGGGGCTCGAACCAGTAACCTTTGTACTACCAGTGCCACCACCGTGACACCCACTTCTACTACTACTACTACTACTACTACTACTACAACTAATATAATTTACATTATATATATATATATATATATATATATATATATATATATATATATATATATATATATATATATATATATATATATATATATATATATATATAAAACATTAAGCTGTTTCTATTAATAAATAAATAAATAAATATATTTATAAATTTGATTAAAATGTATACAATCTAATTGTAATAAATAAATATATAAAGCAATGCATTAAAAAAGATACAATTATATTAATTAATTTATGATGCTTATGAAACATATACAGTTGAAGTCAGAATTATTAGCCCCCCTTTGAAGTTTGTTTTTCTTTTTTTAAATATTTCCCAAATTATGTTTAACAGAGCAAGGAAATGTTCACAGTATGTCTTATTTGTTTTATTTCGCCAAGAATAAAAGCAGTTAATTTTTTTTTATATCCATTTTAGAGTGAAAATTATTAGCCCCTTTAAGCAACATTTTTTCCTCGATGGTTTCGACAAACTAATAATTCAGGGGGGCTAATAATTTGACTTCAGATGTATATGTGTTTTTTTTTTTTTGCAGTTAACAATACATTTTGTAACCATTGTAATCATTAAAAATTTCAAGACATTCAGTTGGTCAAGTGACAGTATTTAAATTTACAATGTAATAGAAAATTTCTACTGCAAATAATCAATGTTCTTTTGAACAGAATCCTTATAGTCCTTGTAATTCCACAAAAATAGTAAACAGCACAACAGTCAAAATTAAGGGTCAGTAGGATTTTTAGAAGTTTTAAAATAAGCTACTCCTTCACCAAGGCTGGATTTATTTAATCAAAAATACAGTACAAATTGTAAAATTGTGAAATATTATTGCACTATAAAATAACTGTTCAAAAGTAGTTTATAATTTAATTTAATTCCAGTCTTCAGTCACATGATACTTCAGAATACACTCTAATATTATTTATTTATGTATTATTATTATGTATTATTATTATTATTATTATTAATAGTAATAAAAGCAATAATGGCTGAGTAATAATTTCGTTTAAAACTACATGCAATAAGGAAGTAAGAAAGTTTAATAAACATTTAACAATTTAACAATTGTTTTTTTTTTTTACATTTATTAAATGCCGCCTTTATGAACAGAATAATTTTCTTTAAAAAAAAAAGAAAAAAAACTGACCCCAAACTTTTGACCGGTAGTGTAAGTGACACTGATTTTCACTGAATGTCATTGTTAGCACAGTATTTTTGATCAAATGAATTCAATCTTTGAATGCATAAATAAAAAATTACCACAAACTTTTGTAACCTTTAAAAGACTACTTGTTAAAAAGAATATCTAGTTTATTAAGTTGTTTCTGTTAGCAACACTCTACACCTCATGTTTGACCCATACTCACCTAGAACCCATTTCATTATCAGCATCTCTGTCCAGCTGAACTGAGTTGTTTTAATGCGAAAGATCTGCCGAGGATGATCAGTAATGGTTTCGTTAGGAAGAGTTTTGACTCCTGCAAAGCGGTCGGAGGCGTTGAGAACCAGAAGACACAGGAAAAGTGTAAATGAGACAGCATGAGCTACAAACTTCATGAAGGGACTGCGGAGAACCTGGCCCACCTGGAGAAGACACCACACACCCAGATACATTTAACATTGGAAGAAAAAATGAAGTATTCTTATTTTTAAAGAAGACTGGATTCTGTTTGATGATGATGATGATGATGATGATGATGATGATGATGTACCTTGCTGAAGGGCATAATCCAATATGCAATGGCAAGAAATGGCAATCCCACCATCACTCCCAGCACTGTCCAACATTTCACGCCAATTGACTGTTGCCTAAGGCCTGAAAGATTCTCGTACCACAGCGTCAGCAACCGCTGCTGGCAGTTGGGATGAGCTACAAACTGAATGCATATAACTGAATTAGACAATGTCTTGCAACAGCTTGTAATTTACATCAATATATTAACATAAGGCTAAGATATTATATATATATATATATATATATATATATATATATATATATATATATATTAAATAGAAAAACTGTGACAACAATTTGGAAAATAGCAGGCCAAAAAGAAGCTTGTTTGGAGTTTACTTCTGGATTTCCTTATTGAACACCATTGGTTTATTTTGATAACTTAATAGGTGCATTTGGGTTTGAGGGTATGAGAAATTATTTGCTCCACCCCTGTGACCTCGTGCACGTGTATTATATGTTCAGTCTACAGGCATTCACAAGTACTTATCAAATATAAAGCATACAAAGCATTTTTGTAATTTTCATGAATCTGTGTGATGTCTTGCACATTATATGATGAACATAAACAGCTGAAGGCAAAATTACTAGCCTTAGTATTGGTCTGGAATTTTAATTATTTCAAAAATATTTCCGAAATAATTTTTAATGGATAGAAGGTTTTTCATTCAATTTTTAAACATAATATTTTTATGAACTAATTTGTAATAACTAAGTTTTTCGGTCTTTTGCCAGGATGATAGTACATACTATGTTTCTAGCTATTTTACAGGCTACTAGTATTCAGCTTAAAGAGTAATTTGAAGGCTTAAGTAGGTCAATTAGGTTAACTAGGCAAGTCATTGGACGACAGTGATTTGTTTTGTAACCAATCAATTCAACAACAACAAAAGTCTAAAGGCGGCTATAAATACTGACCTTAACAATTAATAAACAATAAATAAATTATTCAAACAATCTAGATGAAATGAAATACAACAGGAAATACTGTGAAAAATGTCCTTACTCTCTTAAACATATATTTAAAAAATAATTAAAAGTTCACAGAAGGAATATGAATATGGCCTTTAATGCTGGGTGATTATTTGATGACCAAAACAATGACTATAAGCCCTCAAGCAGGTAGTGTTATGTTAGATAATTTAATTTTATTCATTTCAAATTATTCTATTTATATTATTTTTATATGTATACCTTAATGTCATAAATGTGTGTGCTTCTTGATATAATCAGATGCTCAACTGTAGTTTCAATCAGTTGAAAGATTGGTGTCCCGGCTGGCAGGAATATTGTGCTGAAAATGATTTGAATATATGTTCAAGATTCTACCAAACAAACTGTTTAGACCAATTATTAAAGACAATGCTTCATCATCTGTTTTGTTTTGCCTGCACTGTAAACCCTAATGCTGTAACTAATTAATTGAGTTGAGTTCTATTAACTTAAATCATTAAAATTCGTTTATCTTAATTAACCTTGATGAGTATTTAGAACTTTTTCTTATTTTTGAGTTTGTAAAAATTTAATCTTTCAAGTAAGGTGAACAATTCTGCTGGGTTTAATCTATACAAAATGTCTCTTTAAAGTTTCATTAACTCAAATTCTGTCAGACTAGTGATTTTGCGTCTGACGTCATCCAGGTTCACGTACGTGCTCATGCTTCATTCGTTTTTTTCAAGATGGCGGATCGGCCTCGCTTCACACTACAGTAAGTAAAATATTTACAAATCCAAGAAATATTAAATGTATGTTTTAATTAATATAATCACAGTAACAGTTCAATGTAATGTAGAGTTAATCAGGGTGCGTTTACATGTCGTACATTACAGAAAACATGTTTAGCCTCACTTGTTGCTAACTAACGTTAACATTACTGTTTAAAAAGTTAGAATCAGTGCAATGTTAGCGTTAGTTGTAATGTGTTAACTCTGAATTTTAACAGAGTGTGATAAAGACAAAAATATTTAAAATCGGCAGATTACATTTTTCAAAAAAATTTAAATCTTGGCGCGAGTATGCCTTTTCTCAGCCTGTGCTGAAGTTGTCATGGAGACGTGCGCTCTCACAACCGCATGTCATGGCGCTGCGCTGAACTCCATCCAGTCTGTGAATGTGGTATTATCTTCGCGATCTGTAGGCACTTCGGAAACGAAAGGCGCAAGAAACGTAACGTTAATCATAACTCAAATGATCTCCGCCTAAACACTTAACGGTGTTTTCTGATGACGCGCAAAAACGTAGTCTCAAAACTTAACTCTGTCACACGCAGCTTGTTGCTTGCTGATCCATGTATGAGGATAGCCTGACAAAGAACATTCAAGCTGCGCTCCTCACCTGAGCAGGTACAGAGCAGAGCTTCATTTTACACTACCACATTGAGATAAAGTTGGTTTTATATTCATACATTCATTTAGTAACAACTTGTGACTCGCTCCATAAATTGTTTACCATGGTTCTTTGTTTATTCGTTCTGAAATCACATGCAAGTATGACATGAAAACAACATTACACTAAATGCACTATTTTTTTTGACTGAACAATGTTGTACTTTGAAAGTCATTGGCTGCTAATATGATTTCACCATTAAGAATATGCAAAAATTACCTTTCTGAAATTATATTATTAGGGAGAAAGTCTGAATGTGTAAATATAAAACTAACTTTACCTCAATCACCAGCACTGATCAACACTTAATATTTCCTCGCGCTTAAGACGACATCTCTGCATATCAATGATTACCTGATTAATGCGATCAGTTAAGTGAGTTTAAATGTCATTTAGGTCAAATGTATTTTAAAGGTATGATAAAAGTTTTTTTTTTCAATCTATTTTTTAAAATGTCTACTCTGGAGAGAATATAAACAGCCTAAAAAACAAAGTATGCATATCTATAACACATTAATACAAAATTATGTTATTAAATAAAATAATAACAAAACAAAATATTCAAGACGTGGTAAAGAAGACAGTTTTCTGATGTGCAAATTTTGTAGCTTAAAATATATTTATATCTTAAAAATATAAATATTTTAGTCTATATATTTTTACATCATTAGACAATAAGGTAAGTTTTGTTATTTCTAGCTTTTAAAATCAGGCCTTAAATTTCTTTGTCGTCCTATTCAGTTTTAGAAATTTCAATACTGTTTAAATTAAATCTGTGTTCATCGAATTAAAGCAACTAACATGATAATCAGCTCTATTGCTAACCGTTTTGGAGGTTAACGTTAGACATCAGGCAATTGTACTACTTCCACTCTCAGCTAAATGACACTGTGACTTTGTGTACATACAGAATTGAAGGTCAGGTGTTGCTGACTACAGATAGGTTCTTAAATGGAGGCATGTGAAAGGTGGGTAAAATATTTATTTTGTACTACTATGCCTGGCATATCCAGATAAAATAAATATTACAGTGTATTTATCAATGATACTTTTGCAGCAAGGAAAGTGAAACTTCAGCTAGACCTTGAGTTCAGTTTACAACATGAAGATCCTGCTTTCAACATCTGATCAACACCTGATTTTCATCTGAGGTAAAAAATAGATAAGTAAATGAAACATAATAATAATATTAATACATTTTTTCTAGAATTGTATATTTTGTGGTGTGGGTTTGTTTTATGAAATTCTCTCTTGTTTCTTTTTGCTGTTTGCAGAGTACCAACATGTTACAAACGAGAATTTTCCCCACAAATTCTTTGCACAACTGGACCACCACCTATTTCATTTGATGACAATTTTAAGGCAAACAGCATCCAAAACTGGCAAGAGAGCAGATACCCTGGCTAATCTTTTAAAGGTTTATGATGAGCAGGTATGTTTGGGGTCACGTGTTAAAGTATACATTAAAATATAATTTGAATTATTATTATTTTTTTAATTTTTAAAAAATTGATTCTTGATTTCCAGGAACTGAATGATGTCAGTTCATGACGGACTACTGTTATCAGAGGTCTTTTGGTCTTGCTGCGTGAGCGTGACTTTAAGATTCTTTAGGAACACCATGGTAAGACTTCATTCATTCTTTTCACAATTAGGCATGTTTAATGAAAAGATGAAAGTTTTGAAAACTTTTACTTAATAACATATTTGTAATCAAAAATAGTTGATGAATCATATAATATTGGCTCAGTCATTTTGATACTGTCCTTACATTAATATCCTTGAATTATATTTTTAGATTGATAATCCTGCTGACTGAAGATGCTTTATTGGCCCTGCATTCACTGAGGGTCTCTGTTGTCCTGAAGAATGAATTGGACACCACCCACAGCACACTTCCAGATCTTTCTTGTCTTGTATGGATTAATGTATGCTCTTCACATAATATATAGTAAAGGACTTTGAACTTGTGCAAAAAGTTTTGCTTGGCATGGATGATGGAAAATAAAAAGTCTCGTAGCATGGAAACCTTAAAGAATGAGTTGATGTAGAGCTTTTTTTTTTTTTTTTTTTACTTAATAAAGACTGTCTCTGGGGTAGTAACTTCAAAACATTTATTTACCTTTAATTGGTAAGTATGCATTTAATTATATATAGGGATAGTTTGTCCAAATGTAAAATTCTGTCATTTACTAACTCTTCACTTGTCCCAAACCTGCTTGAATTTCTTGCTTCTGTTGAACACAAAAGTTAAGTAAAGCTGACAACCTGTAACCACTGACTTTCTAATAGGAAAACAAATACTGTGGAAATCGGTGGTTACAGGTCTCAGCTTTTTTTTTTTTTTTCAACAGAAGAAAGAAACTCAAACAGGTTTGGAATAAGTAAATGACAGAATCATAGTTCAACCAAGACTGAATATATATATATATATATATATATATATATATATATATATATATATATATATATATATATATATATTGTAACGAGCGCACACATGCCACGTCGCCCTGGTCGCTAATTCAACCCAGCTGGACCATCATCAACACAGGATCGTTCACAGCTGGACGTCATCAAGTGGAGAGGCATATAAACCAAGCCCACGCAAGGAGAAGATGAGCTTCATTCACCCAATGACTCCATGCGCTAACGCTTGTCTCTGTCTCCATAGCAGACTCCAGCTCGTGACGATCCCACATCCGACTACTCACTGTCCTTCACTTACTTCCTGGAGCACCAGAGCACCTCACCTTGAAGAAGAGCACCGTTTACACCCCATTCATGTTGTAAATAAAGCACCCTCCGGGGACTTGTCTGTAAACTTATCCAACTGTGTCGCTGTTTTCCCTCTGCTTCGCTACAATGTATATGTGTGTGTATATATATATATATATATATATATATATATATATATATATATATATATATATATAATCTGCTCTCCGTTAAACAGAAATTGGGGGAAAAATAAATGGGGGCGAATAATTCTGACTTCAACGATATATATATATATATATATATATATATATATATACAGTTTCTGTGTAGTTTACACTAAACGAGTCACTTCACAGAATGTGCACTTATTATTTTTTTTTAACGAATACCTTAAGAGTAAGTTTTACACTTATTAATGTATTATTAAATTTTATCAAACTTATAGTTTTTTCTTGAGGCTCTTATGTCTGATATCATATTTACATTGTGGGTAATTTTTATTCATTTCAGAATAGTGTTCATTTTCAATCTCTTTATGTCTAATAGTTTTTATCGTTTTAAGACATTTGTAATTGCATAGGAGACAAATTTGAAAGTACTGTTGGACATTTTTTCTTTAACAATAAATGTCTAAAATGGTATTGTCTGTGTGTTTTAAATTACAGATTTATTTTGACAGATTTATGGGGTTTAAAGATTAAAATAATGGCTAATTTTATTTGTGAAACTGACGATGGAGAAGTTAATTTAAAAAAAATGCTATCAAAATGTATGAGCTGGGTGACTAAGTATTTAAAGTTTGGAAAAATTAAAACAATTAAGTTAATTGCAATTAAAACGTATAAGCTGAGTAACTTGGGTATTTTAAGTTAGGTGAAGTGTCTTGCATGAGTACAACAAACTCAAAACTTAATGTTTCTGTTTACTTAAAATAGATAATTTCATAACTTAAAAAATTTGACGTAACTGATTACCTCAAATTTTTTGAGTTTTGTCAACTTATTCGGGATTACAGTGTGTATATACCCTGGCAAGAACAATAAAATCTCAGAAAAGGAATCATCCTGAGTCTTGGAATATATTTTGATCCTCACAGTTTCTTAAAGTATATCTGGGCTTTGATTTTTTATATCTGGACTCCTATATTTAAACCTACACTGTAAAACCCAACAGTCAACTTTATCAAATGAATTGAGTGTAGTTAACTCAAAATCGACTAAAAGTTAATTCTATTCATTTGTTAAATACCTCATTATTTTAACTTAAATGGAGTAAGTTCACAGCACTCATATAGATTAGTTTTTTTTAACTCAAATGGACAGTTTGAGTTGCCTTAACTTAATGAGTTTTACAGTACTTAGATGATTTGAGTTCTCTTCATTTATTGGGTTTCACTGTGCTCAAATTGCTTCATTTACTCAAATGGATTAAGTTCACAGTACTCATTAGAATTAGTTTTTGAACTTAAATGGTTTGTTGCAATCAGATTCCTCAAAGGGTTTGAGTTACCTTAATTTTGGGCTTTATAGTGCATGTTTCATTTCCCAGTACCTTTTTGACTTCATACTTAATGGCCAGTTTAACACGGCTAAGGCAGGGCCGATGGTGTTCGCTTGGATGATTCTGATCCACATCTCCATTCAGAATTGCCTCGACTTCCTCTGTATTCCGGCACAGATCCAGAACGCCAACCACAAAGTCCTTACACTGCATGGAGAGCTTCCTATAGTCATTCTGAAAGCAAAAAGAGCGACAGAATTACGCCAGAATGGCTTTTAATCACTCATAAAAACTAATTTAACCCAATTGGGATACAACTAAGAGTGAACGCTCAGCTCTGAAACGTCTAAAAATCCCATGTTGCACCACTGTCTGATTGACGTTTGCATCAGATCTTCTCAAACTGAGATTTTACCTAATGGAGGGCACCCAAGAGAAACTCGTCCTGCTAATTATAGCGCGGCATTGTTTTAAAACAACAAACATTTTATGTGGAACTACAGAGGCGGAATCACTGACACGCCATTACAACTGTCGAAAGTGATCGTCTGTGGAGAAAAACGGTGATGAGAGAATAATAACGGGGTGATTACAGGAAGCTCTCGATGGAGCAGTTTCAATTAATAGCTCGCTAACCACAATAAGGGGGAAAAACTGTCTGCATTCGCCAACTCCTGATTAGAAATTTCCCCAGAGTGACTCTCAGCGAAGAACTTCTTCCTCTACATATTTAAATATAAAACAACACATCGCCGAAGCCCGTGAAGCTCTCTGGAGGAACGTTTTCTTTTGGAAAAAAATGTTGTGTACAGAGATTCTAGTGAACCAGAAACTGTCATCCAAAAGCCTCTAATTTATAATGAGGATAATCTCAAGGGTGGGAAATTGGTTTTTGTGCGGAATATTGTGCTGGTCTGTGAGGCTGAATGAGCAGAGACTTTTCTCTGGGAGACGAGCAGCTCATTACAGGGCCATGAGCACACTCTTCACGATTGGACACTTCCTAGATTAACTGAGAAGCTGTTTAAAATGTGCTTTGAAATAATCATGAGAGTGCCTTAAAGGAGCCGGCGTTATCTACAAAGCACATAATGATTCATTGAAGTGATTTGGCTCATTGTCCTCGCAACATGAAGGGAAACAATCAGGCAGATTTCTCCATGTCCTGTGATGATGTTAACCAATCAATAAAATAAATTATTCATTTAAGAAGGAATTTGGGCTACTATATAATATCATAATTCATATTTTGAGAGTATGAGGTACATGAAAATATACAGTTGACATTATTTGTTTTAGGGGATTTCTCATAAAACCATAATGAAGCCTACTCAGTGAACTCGTGATAACACTCCAATTCATACAGGTCAACATTGGGAACCCAATTATTTGCAAAGGTTAGAATAGCATACATTAGAAAAAGCTGCAAATAATTGATAGTTTAGCATATTAAAATCATTAGCTATAGAAAGAAATTAAATCAAGTTATCAAATCTCAATAACCTTTTCTTTACCTCATAATTTAAACATTCTGATTTAAAAATCAGCGAATGAATTTCTCATTTAGATTTTCTTTTGATCACATAAAACAACAGAGCTGTCACTTTAAAAATGCACAGATCTATAATGAAAGAACTTGATTGCTTTCCTAATTTTTAATGCTCATTTAAGACCAAATTTGTTATGTTTAAAATACATCCCAGCAAGATCGACATGTTTAGATTTTATTATTATTATTATTTGATATTATTATTAAGCATATGTCTGTTCAAACATGCACCCAAAACCCAGTGTCCACTTTCACTACGCTTCAAATCACGTGTACAGAATCTGTTTGGAAAAAAAGGGTCTATTTATCACTATGGAGAGCATCTGACAGTCACACACTGCTAAATGAACTGACTGTTTTGAGGACTGCATAAGAGGGGCAACGCCACCTGTTATGTAACCAAATCCTGACATTTTTACATTTATTTAAAGAGTTCATTCATTCATTTTCTTGTTGGCTTAGTCCCTTTATTAATCTGGGGTTGCCACACCGGAATGAACCACCAACTTATCCAGGAAGTTTTTACGCAGCGGATACCCTTCCAGCCGCAACCCATCTCTGCGAAACATCCACACACACACATTCACACATTGCGGACAATTTAGACTACCCAATTCACCTGTACCGCACGTCTTTGGACTGTGGGGGAAACCAGAGCACCCAGAGGAAACCCACGCAAAGGTCCACATGCAAACTCCACACAGAAACGCCAACTGAGCCGAGGTTCGAACCAGCGACCCAGCGACCTTCTTGCTGTGAGGCGACATCACTACCTACTGCGCCACTGCCTCGCCTCATGCCTAAATAAAATAAAAGAATAGAACAGATTCACATGTAAGAGCAAGGGGCATACCCTGGTTCGTTCGGTGGTATGGGTTGTCTATAGAAAGGACTGGCTCTTTAATGTTAATTGCCACCCTTAATAGAAAGATTAAACATATGGGAAAAATATACCTTTATAGGATGGTAGCAGGATACATTTAGGAGAACAAGATGGATTTTTAGAATTGGAAAATGATTCGTTTCTATGCTAAATGAAAATGTAACAGAACTTTTTAACGTGCTTTCCAAATTGTATAAATTATTATTATTTTTTTAATTAAATATATATTCATTTATTTGTTCATTTTCCTTCAGCTTAATCTCTATTTCAGAGGTCACCACAGCGGAATGAACCAACAAATGTTTTATGTATCGGATGCCCTTCCAGTTGCAATCCATCACTAGGAAACACCCATACACACTCATTCACAAACATAGTGCATGTATTCGGACTAAGGGAGAAACCGGAGCACCCAGAGGAAACACAAGCAAAAAGGTGAAGAATATGCAAACTCCACACAGAAATGCCAACTGGCACAACCAGGACTTGAACCAGTGACCTAGCTGTAAGGCAACAGTACTATAACCACTGAGCCACCATACCGCTCTATTCAAGAATGAAAAATAAAAAGATAAATCACTACTTTATACTGCCAGCTTTAGCTCTGTATTATTTTGGGACAGTGAAAGCCTTTAAATATATAAACCTATATTTAAAGTTTATGAGATAACTCAACGTTATTATGACAAAAAATGAATAAATATATATAAAATATTATATAACAAATATATAATTTTTTGCCTAATCACCATTGCAGTTTTTTAATCATTTCATCTTAACTATGACAACATTTTTACTTACTTAAAAGAGTTCAATGTGAAAAAGTCTCAATTATAGGATAAAAACAATTATGGCAAACATTATAACGATTTATTTCATCACAGCATGTGTTTTTTTCTTATGTAGAACTGTTTTTCCCAGCACCACCTGTTATTCCAAACCGGCTTTTCTTCTTTTGAAGATTTCTGGTAACCAAACAAACACAAATAATCAATAAAACAATTGATTTTTTTATGTTTCACAGAAAAAAAGAAGTTAAAGATGTTTGGAACAACATTTTTAGGTTTTGTTTTGAGTGATCTCTCCCAAACAATCTATTTTCCCCCTCAAACAGTATAAACAGGTTTGTATTATTGTTGGGCAATGTCGACCAATTGGCATTGTATGATGTCTAATATGAAACATTGCAATGGACGATGGCATCGACAGCACAGGTGTCGGTGAATTAATTATTTATGATTATCTCATTAATTCATAATGAATTAATTGTTTGTAGCCAACCATTTCGACTACCTGACCCGCATGATCTTTGTTTTACCCATAACCAAATCATAAATGCATAAAGACAAGTTACACACAAATTACCACCTGTCAATCACATTTTCCGTGGGATTCTGGCATGAATAGGCAGAGTAATCTGTGTTGTTATAATGGCGTTGTCACACTTGGTTGGTAAAAAATGTGCGTAACCAACAGGAACCAACCAACAGTATAACAGGATTTTTGCTAAAATCTAAGTTCACGCGGGAAAGCGAAAGATTGAAGCAGTGTATAGACACTGTGACACGTTGCCTGATAGATTCAAAAGACCGAAGAGTCATCTCGTTTTACAATATCGATACATCCTTGATAAACTGTCCGATGTGCACTGCTCTCTGGGGTATTGTGCTCAAAGCGCCTGCTGACTGCTGAAGCTCAGAGTCAGGCGCACGCATAGCCTACACACTCTAAAAAAAAATTCCGTAAAAAAACGGTAAAATGTACTGGCAGCTCATTACACAAATATTTTACCGTAAATTAAAAACGGAAAACTTCTGTTAATTGACAGTGTGTCCACATTAAAAAAACTAAAAAATATCCGTTTTTTGACGGTTAAACTACTGTAAAATAACGAACCATTTTATAGTAATTTAAGGGTTTTCTATATAAAAAAACGGTTATTTTCTGTGTTTTTATGGGTATACCAACAGTAAAAAAGCGGAAATATTTTGTTTTAATAGTATACCTACTGTAAGAAAACAGACAGATTCTGTGTTTTAATAGTATACCTACTGTAAAAAAACAGACAGATTCTGTGTTTTAATAGTATACCTACTGTAAAAAAACAGACAGATTCTGTGTTTTAATAGTATACCTACTGTAAAAAAACAGACAGATTCTGTGTTTTAATAGTATACCTACTGTAAAAAAACAGACAGATTCTGTGTTTTAATAGTATACCTACTGTATAAAAACAGACAGATTCTGTGTTTTAATAGTATACCTACTGTAAAAAGAGGACTTTTTTGTTTTTTAATAGTATATATACACAGTGAAAAAATGAACAGATTCTTTTTTTTAATGGGATACCTACTGGAAAAAAATAATTATTTTACTAATTTAATGCTCTTCAAGCAGCATAGAAATAGCAGTTGGTAAGGATAAACATATACATATGGGAAATACACTATTAATGGTTTACCATAGTAAAACAAAACATGTATTCTATACTGTATGTGTAGAGAAGCAGTAAATAGTTTGTTAACTGTGAACTTACAATGATTAGTACAAAAACAACTTTGCAATTAAAACAGATTCTTTAATGAATACAAATCATTTGAATTCCAAATAGCTAGTTATACACACAATAATACATATTGACATGTGAATCACACAGTGAGAAGTCTTGGCAAATAATCTCATAGCAAATTAGTTTTAAATGTTAGCTTTTAAGATAATTGAGGACAAGTGGGCAAATTACAAGTACTTTACATTAAGAAACCAGGTTAACTGCAAGATGGCAGGAAACTGACGATAAAACAGGGTCTTCTTTCGCTCCAATACTGATACTTCAATGGCTGTAAAAAAAAACAAAAAAAAAAAAAACAACATTACTAATGACATTTCACTTACAACTGGGGTAATTCCTTGCATGTCAATAGTTTACACAAATGAAAGTTTTATCGTCATCTTCTTGTCTCACTCTTGTCATTTCAAGCCTGTCTGACTGACATACTTCCACAGAACAAAATAAGAGAAATAGGAGCAACATTCTTTAAAATATGATATTTTGTGTTTTGCAGAGGAAACAAAGTCATACAGGTTTAAAATGTCAAGAGAGTAGGTAAATTATGGATGATCAATGATTCAGTTTTGGGTGAGAAATCACTTTAAGATTTTTCAAAATAAAGTGTAGGTACTTTTGACAAAATTCGGAACAATAATGCAAGAGAGAAACAGTAATATAAACAAACTATGCTGGTAACACTATAATAACTACAGGCTATGATTCATTTATGAAGCATTAGCAAATATTGAATTCATTATCTGTTAAGCATTAACTCTACATTAATAGATGTTAGCAGTCGGTTATAAATACAGCTACAAAATTTGCTACAGCTACAGTTTAATAATTGTGTTATCAAACTTTAATGATTGATTTTACATTACTATTTATAGATAAAAAAATAAATAAATAAAAATAAATAAATATCTATCTATCTATATATCTATATCTATATATATCTATATATATCTATATCTATATCTATATATATATATATATATATATATATATATATATATATATATATATATATATATATATATATATATATATATATATATATATAATATTGCATTATTTACAAAACTTCTTCCAGTTGTGGCCTAATCTAAAGTGAGGATTATTTATGATTTATAAATCCTTATAAACGACAGTTAAAGGCTCAGTATCAAATGAACAATAAATCATTACAGTGTTATCTAAAAAAATGTAATTACTGTAAATATGAAACCTTGCTAAATAGCAGGAGTGCCAAAATATAACATAAAACTGGATAAAACAACAATAAAATAATTTAATGATATATTACGATGCAACATTTCAGTGTTATTTAGCTAGGTTTAAACTGTACAGTAATTTTATTTTAGATAAGATTTTTTTTCATTTAATACAATAAAATGAATTTCATTTTTAGAATATAACTGAATCTTTAATTGTGATTTATAAGGGGATTTACAAAGCATAAACAATCCTCACTTTAGGCTACAAAACTGGATGAAGTTAACAAAAGCACTTATTAAAATAAGTATTGTATATACTTTATATAATTATTTTTTATACTTTATATACAAGTATAACAATTACTATTTATTCATGTATTTTCCTTCAGCTTAGTGTGTACTCACACTATGTATAGTTGCCTTGAACCAGGCTGAAGCACTATTGTACTCCCTCCCGTCTCCCCTGACGTCCCGCACTCACATTGCATTCGAGCCTGAGCACTCTTACATCATCGATGATGCGCTGTTTAGTTTAAGAAGTGCTCTCTCTCAGCACGGAGGAGAATTCTTTAGTTAAATTGTTTTAGTTGTTTGGGATGCAGTAACACGCTGTCAAATATTTCGCCGAACAGATCAGCCACTTTTGATGTTAATAAACAATCATAAATTCCTTGTGCTGCAGGAATAGGAGGTTTGCTAAAGGCGCAGCTGTGGTGCAGTAAGGGGTTTGCGTTCATTGAATAGTATTAGTGGTTAATTTATCCAAATCAAAGTCCCTTGCAAACTGTCATAGATTAAAGACACAAATCCCTCACTGCACAACAGCTGCACCTTTAGCAAACCTCCTAGTACCTGCAGCACGTTGACTTTGATTGTTTATGAGCGTCAAAAGAGGCTGATCTGTTCGGCGAAATATTTGACTGCGTGTCACTGCATATTGAACAACTAAAACGATATAACAATATAAAGAAATCTCCACTGTGCTGAGTGAGAGCACTTGTTAAACTGAACAGTGCGTTATTGATGATGTAAGCGTGCTCAGGCTCGAATGCAATGTGAGTGCGGGTCGTCAGGGGAGACAAGCACGCTTCCAGTTTCAAGGCAACTGTGCATAGCATAAGTACGCCCTTGGAAACACCCATACACACATATTTACAAACACACTCATACATAACAGCCAATTTAGTTAATCAATTACCCTATTGCTAGCCACTGAGCCCCTGTGCTGCCCAACTATTACTATATGCCTGAATAATAAGATATATAAATGTTAGTTTGAATAGTTTATTAACCATTTACTTACACATTCTGAATGATTAGAAAAAAAATACACCAACTATTCTTAAATCACTGGTTTGTAAATAATGCTATACTAAATTTAGTAATGAAAAATTAATCATTAACAAAATATAAAAACAAAATCATTAAGCACATTATAGATGTGCTTATAAGTCACGATTACAGCATTTGCAGCTGTAGTTATAAACTGTATACTAAGGTCTGTTAATGTAGAGTTAAAGCTTAACAGAACTTTTTGCTAATGCTTAATAAATTAATCAATAGTGTTTAATTATTATAAAGTATTACCGGTGTGCTTAATTACCTTTAAATCTTCCAAGGTTTCTGAAAGTCTTTCTGGTCTGACAGGAATCGAAGGAGTTTAGATGGTATGTTTCTGCTTGGTGCTCTTTTTTCTGCTTTGGACCTACATTTTGGATAGTTACTCAGCACGCTCCTGTTGTAAATACAACAAACATGTATCAACTTACTTGTCTTATAAAAATGAAATAAACTTAAAAATGTAAAAACATACCTTCATATAAACTCCAGAGTCAGGGCTGCTTCCTTAGGCTACATAATGTTTAGCACATAAGAGACTAAACATGTAGCTCACCACAATTAGGGGACAGCCCAATGATCTTGTTATTGTGACTGTGGACTTTTCTTCTGAAAAAAAGAAAAGAAACGTGAGTTGTGTGTTGGGTCTGGTACACATCTACATGGAAAGAACCTATATAAACATATGGTTTAATATAGGTTTTGATTTAGGTTTTTGAAATATGTGACAAATATAAAATTGGCTGTTTTCCTATACTACATGTACATATATGCACACCTATATGTTAAATTATTAATATTATTAATAATATTATAAATATAATTATTATGTAAAATTATTAAAATACATGTCTGCTACATAATTTAAAAGAAATTAAAATATATATATATATTTACTTAATCAAATATTACAAGAAATAATTATAGTGCAAAAACAAATAAGGCAAAAAAAAAAAAAAACAATAAAGGAAAGAAAAAAAAAGAAAAAAAAAATGACAAACCATTTTGTTTTACATTTCTTTCTTTTCCACTATCTTTATACAAGAAAGAATTGACCTTGAAAATGTTTCAGGAAAATGTGTAGACATCATAGCTTTCCATCTCCTCTCACTTATTTGCCATAGTTAAATTCCATAACATGCCAATAACATGTGATACAAAATTCAAGTGGCACATACATAAGTTTTTTGCATTTTTTAAGTTAGTTCTTACCCAGAGAGCAAACCTACGTTAAATTAACATTGAATAAATGTTAAAACATCAATCAAACTATCATTGAAACAACGTTAAAAAGTCACCACTGATTTTTAGGCAGTTTTCCACCCTGAAATAATGGTAATTCTATGATGATACAGGGACAAAACTGTCCCAAAATCAGCATTTATTCAACCAAAATTAAATCTTTTTTTTTTTTTACAATGAACCCAACATTAAATAAAATGTTAAATCAACCACACTATCATACAATTAATGTCGAAATTTAAAGTTGATTTTTAGCCAGTTTTGCATCCTGAAATAATGTTATTACAATGACGCTAAATAGATTAAACGGTCACAAAATCAGCATGAAGGCCTGGCTCACCATCAAGATGCCCACATTGAAATTGTCTCTCTCATCATCAGGTGGCTAAGAGAGAAAAGAAAAGAGATTCAGCAGTGGACCAGTTATTTCCATATCACTTTACCAAAGACATTAACAGAATAAAGAACTTGTAACATTTCAAGTGATGCAAAAATAAATAATAATAATAAATAACTGCTTGGTTCATTTAACAGATTACAGTAGCAGCTTAAAAAACCCAGATAAAACACCCACATCAACCCAGTACTTTTTAGTTTGAATACGTTAACAAAATTCTAATTTACTGAAGCAAAATGTGTTCATGTAAACACTTAGTAAAAATATAGGTACAAGTAATTGGTTTTGCCAAATAATAAAAATAAAAGCATCAATATCAAACAAAAACCCTGACCATTTTACCTCTTAAACGTGGAAGTTTACTGTCATTCCCTGTATTAAGTACAGATGGTCCAGCACAACTGCCTGAGTTCTGAAAGAGCAAAGACATTCTTGGTAAAATGACAATAGATGCAATGCTAAATATAAATCATTTTTTTTTTTTGTATTATTTATAAAAATGAAGTACTGACCAGTCAGCATCAATTTTTACACCAACACACCTACAACAAAAATAACACTCATTCAGTTTGAAACATGCAACGTAGTCTACTTTTATACTTTACAAACTTTGTGAATAATAAAAAAAAATGAAAATATTTAAAACCCCAGCTGTATTTTATTTCATTTGTCTATATCAATTTAAATTTAGTTTGGATTGAACGTAAGATTTAATATTTTTATGTAGATTGCTGTGAAAATGTACCTGTACCTTGTACTTATAACCAAAATTACAGAACCTGGAAGTCAACAAAGCAAAATATCATTGAACCTTATATGTACAAAACACTTAAAACCAAACAGAAAAAACGCTGAACATTTTACCTCTTAAACTTCAAAGTTTACAGTCATCTCCTGTATAAGGTACAGAGGGTCCAGCACAACTGCCTGAGTTCTGAAAGAGCAAACACATTCTTGGTAAAATTACAATAGATGCAATGCTAAATATAAATCATTGTTTATTTTTTTTGGTTAAAAAATGCAGTACTGACCAGTCAGCATCACTTTTTACACCAACACACCTACAACAAAAATAACACTCATTCAGTTTGAAAGATGCAGCACGTAGTCTACTTTTAAACTTTAAACTTTGTAAATAACAAAAAAATGAAAACATTTAAAATCCCAGGTGTATTTTATTTAATTTGTCCATGTTAATTCAAATTCAGTTTGGATTGAATGTAAGATTTAAGATTTTAATTTAGATTGCTATGTAAATGTAACTGTACCTTGTACTTATAACCAAAATGACAACATAAACATAAAGCAAATCTTATATCATATATCAGTGAACCTTATATCTACAAAACACTCAAAATCAAACAGAAAAACCCTGAACATTTTACCTCTTAAACTTGAAAGTTTACTGTCATCTCCTGTATAAAGTACAGAAGGTCCAGCACAACTGCCTTAGTTCTGAAAGAGCAAACACATTCTTGGTAAAATGACAATAGATGCTATGCTAAATATAAATCATTATTGTTATGGGTAAAAATGCAGTACTAACCAGTCAGCATCAATTTTTACACCAACACACCTACAACAAAAATAACACTCATTCAATTTGAGACAGTCTACATTTAGACTTCACAAACGTTGTGAATAATAAAAAAAATTAAAACATTTAAAATCCCAGGTGTATTTTATTTCATTTGTCTGTGTTAATTCAAATTCAGTTTGGATTGAATCTAAGAATTTACCTATAACATGTACTTATAACCAAAATGAAAGAACCTGAAAGTGAACAAAGCAAAATATCAGTGAACCTTATATGTGCAAAAAAACTCAGACTCAAAATCTACATAAAAAGATTTCATTTGCGATAACACTATGTGTAGTTCACTCTATCATCAAGGTTTCATTAAAATAAAACTCCTGATCTCCTAATAGTAAAGAAAGTATTATTTGCTATAATGAATCGAACTGACAATTAGTTTGAAGAATTTTAAGACTGTGGAAGAACAACTCATCTTTATATCTTCATATTAGCTGCCCTTGAGGTTCTTAAAAGTGAATAAATAAATATCCATGACAGTTCAACTCGACTACAACAAACATTTAATTGTGTGCTTTAAGGTACACGTTGTATTTGAGGACGAAAACGCATGACAGTGTAAACACTATAAATACTTTTAAGTGTCACACACTTACTGCATCACTGTTATTATCTCTGTACACACAAACACACGTCGCGAAATGCGGAAGTTTTTTTTCGTTCCATTTGGCGAGCGTTATTAAATTCCATAACACTCTCATCAGTTCTTGTTTCTTATTTGCGTCTATTACCCCAGTTTGTCACGCGGGATGAATGAAATGTTAGTGAGTTAAAGTGAAACTGCCGAACTGCAGTTAAAGTCAGGCATCCTGCTGATTGGATTCATAAGGGCACTTGTTTGTCAGACGGCTCACCGGTCAGGTATACATCCGCGCTAAAATATCAAAGTATGAAAGTCACCCAGCTCCCAACCCAACGTTGAGAATAGATTAACGGCGATATATTTTTTTTTATCGCGCGATAAGTCTCGCGTTAAAGCAGCACGTTAATGCTGATAACGGCCCACCACTAAAAATAACTTTACGAGTGTGTATTTCCCCTCATACCGAGTTACAAATGCCTCCAATTCACGCGAGTCTAACTTATAACTTACTTAAAAACCAGCAAAGCTGTTCCACTGAAACTCGGTCACACAGCCTTAATACGTCGGTCAAATTAAAGCTAACATTTGAAAACGTCAGTAAAAATATGAAATTAGTTATTAATATGCAAACAAACACAGGCGGTCAGGTGTTACGTTTGAAACACGTTAACGTTAGTATTCATTAAAGGTAACGTTAACGTATATCAACCAAACTACACAGTGTCACAAACTTTGAATGCTATCCCTTGTTCAATGCACTGTACAAAGAAAACATTTATATTTCTATTAAATAATTAACATACCTTTTACACTCTCACTGAAAAGCTGACGTTTACCGTTAATCCAGTCAGACTCACGCAGGTGCAGAAGGAGTGAGTGGGTGATTGGGACGTCACGTCACTTCCCGCGCACGGCAGTTTAGAAAAATACGGACAAACAACTGTAAATGAACAGATATCATATTTACTGTTGAGGAAAACGCATAAAAAGGTAAAAAATCATTAGGTAAATGCTTGTTTAAGTTACATTTAACCACTCATAGCTCAGTTTGATCTTAATGAAATAAAGTCTGATCTTATTAACAATATTAAACGTAATTCACTGCTGTACTTTCCATGGGCGCTTCATACTAGACAAAAATCATTTTAAATAACGATAAAAAGGTAATAAAGCAGTCTTTTAACTAAAATATTGTTATATGTTTTATTAATCGTACTTACCAGGGAAAAAACAGGAAGAAATATGTCCCGGTGTCCATCAAACGCTTTCTGAGCTGCGATCCCCTTCCCACAATGCAATTCGAAAATGTATATAAACGGAAAAACACCCGTAATACGTTTATACGGAAAAAATCTGTTAAAATATACAGTCATTTAACTGTTATTTTACAGATTTTTTTTACAGTGCAGCCCATTGTCTTTCGACCAAACCCTAGTTTGTATTCATGAAATACAGATATATATAAACATATACTGCCTTATTAAAGGTGATGTTGAAAACCCTTGTTATAGCCTTTAATGTACACAGTAAAAAAATCTGTTATTGATCAGTTTTTTGTATTTTGGGATTCACATGTGAGGTGTTTTCTGTTTATTTATGTTGTAAATTGCATTATAGTACCTAAATCTCTGCTCTGTCAACTTTTGATGTTAATCAAAATTCCAGTCTACAGTCAAAGTGAATTTTATTGAAATTTGTGTAGTTTGAAATACTATAATGTACAAGAAATAATATAGAAGGTCCCAAATCGCATACTTATGCACTATTCTAATCCATTTTGTAGTACAAATAGTGTAAGTAGTGCATTCACACTGAAAACTCTAAAAAGAATAAGTGCACTTTAAAAACCTGGATGATGCACTTAATCAACCAGTAAAAAAGTAAGGAATGTTGAACACTTCATGCAAACAACAGCCGCTGCTTTGCTCACGTAGCGCAAGGGGCGGAACTTTGAGGCACTGATGTTTGATTTCTTTATTTATTTTGAAATTGTGAAAGCAAAATTCACTTACAAAAATGATTATAGAACCTCCCGATGGTGAATGCAGTTATACTCATGGCAGGTATTATTTGGTAGTTTGGTCCTTTATTTAGCTAACTTGGCAATCGTCAAACGTAATCAGAAAAACTTTTTTTCCGCTTAGTAAAAAAAACATTAGTGTTTCATTTGGGATGACACTACATACATATACTGTGCCGTTGATATAGCGTGCCATTTGGGACGCTGCTAGAGAGACATAAGTCTGTAAAACAACAGAAAATAATTACAATGTTTTTGTACCATAACATACAACACCAACCCAGACAATATATCTCTTTAAATCATTAAAAATGTTAATAAAAGTCACTTTTTTCTCATTTTTGAAGGTTAAAAGTTTTTAAAAAAGTACCAAGGTCCCGTAATGCAATTCAAAAGTATAAATAAACAAAATAAAAAAATACATCATAAATATTAAAAATTGCTAATTTATGGATATATTTTTACTCTTCTCCAATAAAATTCTGTCCTAGGACCATGACTTTGACTGACAGCCCTGGATATGGCATATCTGTACGCTTCCTCACCTTAAACTCAGTCTCGATGTTGGCGAGTTGTGCCAGCTCATTGCTGAGCTCCAGGGCAGTGAGCACAGGGTCTTCACTAGACAGAGACAAATAGGCAGCACTAGCCAGGCCTTTATAGGCGTTCATCCTTGATCGCGAGTGGCTGAAAGAATCCTGCTTCTGTTTCTCTGCGCACTCCCCACACTTGCAGAAATAGTCGTGTGGTTTCTCAATACGAGCCCCTTTAAGCAACAAGATGTGCACAATCTCATACTCCTTACAATGGGCTGCCAGAATCATAGGTGTGATGTCCTGAGAAAATCGAGTCCCGTCTTCATCATACGCGTAGAAGTCATCATCCCGCAGCTCTTGCTCTAGAGGACTCAGAGTCAAGCGAAGACCACCTTCGAACGCAGGATGAGCCAGGATGGCCTCCACTATCCGCACGTAACCTTTGCTGATGGCTAACAGCAGGGCATCACCAACCCTTGCCAAGCCTTCTTTCTTCAGCAACAGTTCGGTGACCTCCAGGTGCTCGTTCCCCACTGCCAGTTGCAATGCATTCTGGCCCATGTAGTCCACACAGTTTACGTTCAGCGTCTTGGATTCCTCAAGCATCTTTCGGACTGAAGGGATGTTTCCGTACTCTGCGGCATCTAGAAAACGTTCCTCCTCTTCAGTCAGACTAGTGCCTCTCTCGCTGAACATGTACGCTGGGCCCCGGACGGCCTGTCGGCGGATTTTATCCCTTAATGTGGTGTGTCTGCGCTGCATGGCTTCAAACCTAGAGAAACAAAAACATATTGCTGATATATAGGATTCGGTGAAACTGAAATAAATGGATCCATCATCTACAATAGAGGTGTCCAATCTTGATCCTGAAAGGCAATATGTGTGTATTAATATTAGTATTCACTAGCTGTTCAGGGTACATCAGTAGTACACTTGTTACTGCAGTGCATCATGGGGTTTATATTAGTGTACTCAAAAACAGCCACAATGGTTTTGACCATCACAACTAACTGCTGTCTGCTAAACAGTGCCGTATTTGAAGGGTTAGTTCACCCAAAAATGAAAATGCTGTTACTAATTTTTCACCCTCATGTCATTCCAATCCTCTAAAACTTTTGTTCCCTTTCATAACAAAAATTAAGATGTTTTAGATAAAATATGAGAGCTCCCTCATCTTCCATAAGCACCAACGGTCCTGAGATGTTACAGTCCAGAAAAGCACCTATAAACATTGTCCAAATGTGACTTCAGTGGATCATCTGTAATCATATGAAGCTCCAAGAACACTTTTGTATGCCAAAAAACTGTTAAATTCAATTAGGCTTTGTCTTCCATGTCAGATCAGGTTGCACATTTACTAAGGGTAGTATGATGCTGAATAATGGCACTTCTTCGTACAGCCTGTCAGGAATGGGACTGGAAGGACACAAATGCAGGTTCAAATTAAAGATTTTAATGAACAGCAAAGACTGTAGTCAGGGCCACAAAATAACAGCCAAAAAATAACACAAAAATCCAAAAAGATCAAATAAATAGTCTTTAGGACCTCCTCCGTTACCGGGTTTGAAAAGAGAAAAATAAAAATTTCCGAGGGTCAAAAACAGAGTCTCTCGGCCAGTGGCGCGCTGCACACAAGGAGAAAAAACAACAAAAAGGCCGGGGTTAAGACAGCAAAAATATAATGAGAAAAGAATGTCCTTACAAACTCCTCCGGTAGAGGGCGCACTATGGCCCGGCTGTTTTAGATGTGACCGACGAGAGCGAGCGAGGGAGAGGGGAAGTCGGACGGCAGGTGATGTCGGAGAACTCAGTGCGGAGGGGATGACGGTGCCTGAGAACAGAGGGATATGAGCCAAAATGGAACACACACAAGAAGGACAGAGCGCTAGAAGTAAGATGACGGCCAGGCGAGACACAACTGGAAGGGATAACACCAACCAACACGACAAGACTGGAGAGACAACTCGGAAGACTGTTACACGGACTGACACACAACGATCTGACACAGGATGACACACGAGAGGGAACTAAATAGGGGAAGGAGCATAACTGAATCCAGGTGAGATTAATTAAATCATGATAATAGTAAAATAAGGTAACAAGGGGGAGGGAGGAATATTACGTTGAGCACAAGGTGACAGACCAAAACAAAACATCCACGCGTGCTAATGACATGACAACATAAACAAAGGCGGCGTGATCAAACCAGGGGTGTGACAGTACCCCCCCCCCTACGGGCGCCACCAGGCGCTGCAGGGAGAGGCTTACCTCGTCGCCGATGGAAATCCTCGACCAGCGCCTGATCAAGTATGTCCCGGGCTGGGACCCAACTCCTCTCCTCTGGACCATAGCCCTCCCAGTCCACTAGATACTGGAAACCCCTGCCCCTGGGTCTAACATCAAGCAACCTTCGTACTGTGTAGGCTGGTAAGCCGTCCACTAGTTGGGGGGGAGGGGGGGAAGGGGCAGAAGGGACAAGGGGGGAATACATCACAGGTTTAACCCTAGATACATGAAAAATAGGGTGTACCCGACCAAGCTTGGGGGGAAGCTTGAGCCTTACCACCACCGGACTCAAGACTTTAGTGATTTGATATGGACCAATGAACCTGGGGGCCAGCTTGCGTGAAGGCACCCTGAGAGGCAGGTCCTTGGTGGAGAGCCATACTCTTTGACCACAAATGTAATGAGGGGCAGGAGTCCGGTGTTGGTCGGCCGCTGCTTTGGTTCGTCTGCCAACTCGGACCAAGGCCTCCCTAGCTTTCCTCCAGGTGCGTCGACACCGCCGAACGAAAGCTAGGGCAGACGGAACGGCAGCTTCAGGTTCCTGTGAGGGAAACAAAGGGGGTTGGAATCCAATTGAACACTCAAATGGGGACAAACCTGTAGCTGACGACGGAAGAGAGTTGTGAGCGTACTCGACCCACGACAGTTGTTGGCACCAGGAGCTAGGATTGTGGGACGCCAGGCAGCGGAGAGTTCGTTCCAAATCCTGGTTGGCTCGTTCAGACTGCCCGTTGGTCTGAGGATGGAATCCTGATGACAGACTCGTAGAAGCCCCGATCTGTCGACAGAACTCCTTCCAAAAGCGGGAGACAAACTGGGGACCCCTGTCAGAAACCACATTAACCGGAAGACCATGAATCCGGAATACGTGATCAATCACCACTTGCGCAGTCTCCTTGGCTGAAGGAAGTTTGGGGAGGGGAATGAAATGGACTGATTTAGAGAAACGGTCCACCACCGTGAGAATGACGGTGTTTCCTTTAGATTCTGGGAGACCAGTGACAAAATCAAGGGCCACGTGTGACCATGGGCGGGACGGGATGGGTAGGGGGCGAAGCAGACCAACGGGAGGTGCATTAGAAGTCTTGTTCTGGGCACAAACAGAACAAGCCGCCACAAACTGCCTGACGTCCTTGGCCATGGATGGCCACCAGAATCGTTGGTGAATCAAAGCCAGCGATCTCCGCACTCCTGGGTGACAGGCTAGCCTGGACGAGTGTCCCCACTGGATGACCTCTGAGCGAAGTCTGGTTGGAACAAACAGACGGCCCGCTGGGACCCTCCCTGGAACTGAGATCTTTTGTATGGCCTTCTCCACCCGTCTCTCAATGTCCCAGGAAATAGACGCCACCACCATTTCTTTTGGTAAAATGGCATCAACCGATTTCTCCTTTCCTGGGACCTCAAAGAGACGGGAGAGGGCATCGGGCTTGACATTCTTGGTTCCAGGTCTGAATGATAGGGTAAATTTAAAGCGGTCAAAGAAGAGGGCCCAGCGAGCCTGTCGAGGGGTCAGCCTCCTGGCCGAACGGATATATTCGAGATTCTTGTGATCCGTCCAGACCAGGAAAGGTTGGGCTGCCCCTTCTAGCCAGTGACGCCACTCCCCCAGAGCCAGCCTGACTGCCAATAATTCTCGGTTCCCTACGTCATAATTCCGTTCCGAAGGGTTTAGGCGGTGGGAAAAGAAGGCACACGGATGTACTTTCCCGTCCAGGCAAGACCTCTGAGATAGAACTGCGCCTACCCCGACATCAGATGCATCCACCTCAACAATAAATTGTTGTTCAGGATCTGGAATGGACAAAACAGGAGCAGAGACAAAACGGGACTTCAATTCATCAAAGGCCTCCTGTGCATCACTATTCCACTTGAACCATACCTTGGGAGAGGTGAGTGCTGTTAAAGGTGCAGCAATCTGGCCAAAGTTCCTGATGAATCGCCGGTAAAAGTTTGCAAAGCCCAGGAACCGCTGCAGAGCTTTGCGAGAGTCAGGGGTTGGCCACTCGGCAACAGCCCTTATCTTACAGGGATCTGCCTGGATCTCTCCCGCTGAGATGATGAACCCCAGAAACGGAATTGACTGGGCATGGAAAACGCACTTCTCCGCCTTGACATAAAGTTGGTTCTCCAACAACCGTTGTAGCACCTGGCGTACGTGTTGAATATGTATCTGCAGGCACGGGGAAAAGATCAAAATATCATCGAGATACACAAAGACAAAACGATTAACCATGTCTCTCAACACATCATTAACCAGGGCCTGAAAGACAGCCGGGGCGTTGGTCAGACCGAACGGTAAGACCCGGTATTCAAAGTGTCCCGTAGGGGTGTTAAAGGCTGTCTTCCACTCATCCCCCTCACGTATGCGGACAAGATGGTAGGCATTCCTGAGGTCAAGTTTGGTGAAAACCTTGGCTCCCTGCAACAGCTCAAAAGCAGACGACATGAGAGGTAGGGGGTACCTGTTTTTAACGGTAATGTCGTTGAGCCCTCGATAATCAATGCATGGACGCAGGGAGCCATCCTTCTTCTTAACAAAGAAGAATCCAGCACCTGCAGGAGACGAGGAGGGTCGGATGAGACCGGTTTTAAGGGATTCATTAATGTACCTGTCCATAGCCTCTCTCTCTGGACCAGAAAGGGAAAACAAGTGTCCCTTAGGCGGAGAAGTGCCTGGGAGGAGCTCGATGGCACAATCGTATGGTCTGTGAGGAGGCAAGGAAGTGGCCCGGGACTTGTTAAACACCTGGCGCAGGCCGTGGTACTCCACCGGGACCCCAGTCAGATCAGCAGCCTCTGCCTGTAACACAGAGGACACAGAAACAGGAAAAGGGGCACTGCCCAGACAAGAAGACAAACAATACTGGCTCCAAGATAAAATGGCATTACCAGACCAATCAACATGAGGACCATGCTTTACTAACCACGGGTGCCCCAACACTATGGAGGCACTCGGGGAATCCAGAAGCAACAGAGTGGTCACCTCGTGATGATTGCCTGAAACAGTCAGGTTAATAGGAGGGGTAGAATGGGAAACAGTGGTTATAAGCGAGCCGTTGAGGGAGCGAGCAGGGATAGGATCAGGAAGAGGGATAGCAGGAATTCCCCACAAAGCAGCTAGGGAGGAGTCCATAAAATTTCCTTCAGCCCCCGAGTCAACCAGGGCTGAACAAGAATTAGAGGAATCACTGAAGTGTACAGAAACAGGAAGAAGAGTGCGGGAGGAAGAGTGTAGGAAAGGGGTAGTGCTCACCAGTATCCCCCTCTTCACTGGTGAGGCTTGACGTTTGAGTGGGCAGGCTACAGCAAAATGTCCAGGCTTCCCACAGTAAAGGCAGAGTCCCTGGACGAAGCGTTGCTGTCTCTGTAGTGGGGTAAGACGAAGACGCCCTACTTGCATGGGCTCCGGATCCATTGGAGCAGAACCAGATGCTTCTGCAGCCAAGACTGGACGGGAATCCTCCACTCTCCATGGGGGGCGAA